TAAGGGTGGATCAATGGGATGTTTAGTTGCAGTGAATAAGGTTTTGGGTTTGAAAATATTGTGTTGAGATCTAGTAGTCATGCCATGAGTCCGAGGAGGGATAGGAGGCGGGTTTGGTGCTGGAGACGAGGTGGTAGTTGAGCCGGAATGGGGGAGAAATGGCACTGGCCTAGGAATTTCTAAGTGTTGGGTGTGTGACAGGAGAGGAAGGCAAGGTTCTAGTGGATGCAGGTTCGATATCGAGAGAAGGGCTGGAGGTGGAATTAGATGAGGGTGAAAGAGGAGCTAATGGTGTCAAGGATGAGTCACCTATCGGGGAAACAGGGAAAGGGACAAGATCATGGACTGAGGTAGAAAGAGATGGAGGGTTGAGAAAGTTTACTTGATTAACAACTGTGGAGGCCGCACTAGAGACTGCTGCTTGAGGGCCAAATCCAGAAGATGGCGAAGCACCGACAACAATGGATGGGTCGGCTGCAACAGAAGGTGTCTTGTGAAAAAAGAAGTTGTACTCATCAAAAAGAACATGACGAGAGACAAAAATTTTCCTAGTAGAGGGATCAAAGTATTTATACCCAAGATGCTCAATGGAATAATCGAGAAAAACACATTTTCGAGAGCGAGGTTGTAGTTTATTAGAATTATAAGGACGTAACCATGGGTAACAAGTGCAACCAAAAATCCAAAGTTTAAGATAATTGGGTTTAAGATGAAATAATTTTTCAAAAGGGGAGGTACTTGTAGGTACCGAAAGGCGATTAATAAGATATACAGCAGTTGTGAAGGCATGACTCCAAAAACATGGAGGAAGTGAGGCAGCCTGTAATAGTGTTAGACCAGTTTCAACAATGTGGCGATTCCTACATTCACTAATTCCATTTAATTCTAGTGTGTAAGGTGGGGTAGTAAAGTGTGAGATGGCAGTTTTTTGGAAGAAATCACATAAAGCAAGATATTCCCCACCACCATCAGAATAAAAGGATTTGATTGTGGTACCAAATTGATTTTTAGCTAGAGTACAAAATTTTGGAAAAATTATGACAACTTCAGATTTTCGTTTAATAGGAAAGATCCAAATATAACGACTAAATAAATCAACAAAAATCACATAATAAAGGAAACCATCAATAGACATAGAAGGAGTTGGGCCCGAAACCTCTGAAAATATTATTTCTAAAGGTTTATTGCTTGAAATAGAGGAGGCTCCAAAAGGCAACTTGTGACTTTTGGCACAAAAACACGGCTCACACAAAGAAGACCTAAATTTATTAGAAATGGGTAAAGCAACACTACTAATAATTTTATTTAGAGTTTTTGATGAAGGATGTCCCAATCTTGCATGCCAATCCAAGGGGGACGTTCTTTCACCAATTAATGCCATCGGACTCAATTTATTTGGATTTTGAAGGGGTAGACAGTACACGCCATGCTGATTGGGCCCTCAAAGAAGCGTCGTCCCTGTAGTGCGATCCTTCACAAGAAAATAATCAGGATGAAACTCAACCAACACATTATTATGTTGACATAATTTGGAAACCGAAATCAAGTTACAAGAGGCATGAGGTACACAAAGAACATTTTTTAAGGTTAAAGGCTTAGTGTTGCCTAATAGTGTGGTGTAACCCACATGTGAGATAGTCAAACCTGATCCATCACCAATGAGTAGTTCATCAGACCCATCATATTTTGAGTGAAGTGCTAAGGTTGCCAAGTCAGGAGTAACATGATCAGAGGCTCCAGAATCTATCCACCAATCACCCTTCTTTGAAGTGGAAGTTGTTGCAAAGTTGGCAACATGAGCATGATTTTTGAGTGCAGGACAGTTTCTGGCAAAATGTCCAAAACTATTGCACAATTGACATGCATTAGCATTGTAACTATTATACCTGTTGGAGGAATTCCAATTATTTTTTCCTCCTTGGGCTCCACAAGTTCCTCGGGCTCCTCGACGACCCTTTGGGGCATACCCATTAAATTGGCTGTTGGTATAAGGTGAAGCTGTTGCGTTGGGCTTAGAAGTCCGATTGAAGTGTGCTTGGACTCCATCATAATGGCCACCTACTGAGTTCCAAGCATTGAAGCCACCATAGCCGCTAGGATTTCCAACAGTACGAGGATGCACAAAAGCAAATTGTGTTGTGATTGGTGCCTTGGTATCACCAACAAGAGCCTCCTTTCTTTGTAGAGACTCTTCATGGGCTAATAGTTGATCTTGTAAGTCTTCAAATGACAATGGGGGCTCGTCACGGGCTCAAATTGAGGCCTTGAATTCCCTGTATTCATGTCCCAAACCGTTAAGAAGATAAACTTGAATGTCAGAATTGCTTAAGGGTACCTTTTCTGCATTTCCAATCCGATCAATTAGGATTTTTATAGTGCGAAGATATTTTTCTACCGCTCTACCTTCACACCAAAGGTTCTGGAGCCTTTCTTTCAATGCATTAACTCTCGTACGACAGCTATTTGCATAAAGCCTTTCAAGTATCACCCAAGCTTCATGCGAGGTCTCAGCACTAGATACATATGGGTGAATGGATTCTGATACTGAAGTCATAATTGCGTGTAGTATTGATTGATCTTGCCTCACCCACAAATCATATGGTGAGTCGGGTATGTCATCTGCTGGAGGACATGGCCTGGTACCCTGCAAAAAATCAGTCAGTCGATAAACTCGGGGCAATGAGGTAAACTGTTGGCTCCACATGGTATAATTATCAGAGGTGAGTTTGACTGGGAATTGAGCAGCAATAAAAGCTATGATATTGTTTAAACTGGTACTGGTATTGATAACAACGGGTGTGGTAATCACGGTTTTGCCTGAGCTTGACTTTTGGGTTTTGGAATTGGTGGTTTTGGGTGTTTCGTCGACCATGGTTGTTTAATGTTAGTCCCGCTTGAGACTGTGGCTCTGATACCACTATTATGACAGAAACTTGAGAATGAAACTGATAATCTTTATTCACATAATTGAGTATCCTATATACACAAGGTCTGCAGTTATTTATGGAAACTAAAGATATACAATAATAGAAAATATATACAATTAAGTGTGATTGATATCCTGCATATAATGCTGATTATATTTGCTGTAATTAGTGCAGATTCACAAGCCAGATTCACGAGCTGTGTTGACAGGATTTGTTTCCATAACAGGGTCACATATGCAAATGAAGTCCTGATGTGGGACTCCAACTCAGGAAAGCTTTCAGACTTTACTTGTCATTTCTCCTTCAGTATTGATGCGCTGGGTCCAAATATTACCAATGATGGAATTGAGTTCTTCCTTGCTCCTGTTGGATTTCAAATCCCACCCAACTCTAATGATGGCTACCTTGGCCTATTCAACAGCACAACAAAATATTCCCCCTCAAATAGGATCATCTCAGTGGAATTTGACACTTACCAGAACCTTGAATGGGATGGATCTTCAAAGTCATGTGGGTATCAACATCAATTCTATACACTGTTGTTTACACTCCATGAGATGCACGTTTCCACATTAGGGATACTGCTGATGTATTGATTACTTATAACTCTACAACCAAGAATTTGAGTGTCTTAGGGAGCTATCAAAATACCAAGAATCCTCAAGAAAATTCAAGCCTTAACCACTTGGTTGATTTAAGGAACGTTTTGAACAAATAGGTGGCTTTTCAGCTTCTACATGAGGTGTAGCTGGACAACATACACTCAAATCTTGGAAATTCAATTCAAGCTTGGATGCTAAGGAAACCAACGAGTCATCAAGAAAGATCAAACTAATTGTTGCTATTGTGGTACTAATGATCGTTCTTCTCATTGGAACACTTTTAGCATATGTGATTATGAGGCAAAGGAAGAAGGTAAATAAAAGGGCAGAGAGGACAAAGTTAACATCTATCACTGATGATTTTGAGATGGGCACATTTGTACCAAGATCTTGCCTCTGCTACTAACAATTTCTCTCAAGATAGGAAATTGGGTGAAGGAGGTTTTGGTGCAGTTTATAGAGGCCATCTAGCTGATGTAGACATGTTGATTGCTATAAAGAAAATTTCTAAAGGATCAAAACGAGGAAAAAAGGAGTATGTGATAGAGGTGAAGACCATTAGTCAGTTAAGGCATTGAAATTTGGTGCAACTTATTGATTGGTGTCATGAAAGGAGTGAGTTCTTGCTTGTTTATGAGTTAATGTCAAATGGTAGTCTTGATTCTCATCTCTTTGGCAAAAGGAGTCCTTTTCCTTGGCATATAAGGTATAGAATAACACTTGGATTGGCCTCGGCAATTCTATATCTTCACGAAGAGTGTGAGCAGTGTGTGGTGCATAGGGATATTAAGTAGAGTAATATAATGTTGGATTCCAGTTTTAATGTTAAGCTTGGTGACTTTGGGTTGGCTAAGTTGATGGACCATGAGTTAGGTCAAATTACAACAGGGTTGGTAGGTACTTTTGGCTACTTAGCCCCAAAGTACATAAGTATAAGGAAGGCAAGTACAAAGTCAGATGTATTTAGTTTTGGGGTGGTGATATTAGAGATTGTTACTAGAAGAAAGTCTACGGATCAAATGGGGGAGGAGTCTGATTTGGGGTTGGTGGAGTGGGTTTGGAATCTTTATGGGAAAGGAAGGCTTCATTCCGGTGTTGATGAGAGAGTGAAGAGGGATTTTGATGAGAAACAAGCAGAATGTTTGATGACTGTTGGAATGTGGTGCTCTCACCCTTATAGCAATTTTAGGCCATCAATTAGGTTAGCAATTCATGTTCCAAACTTCGAGGTAGCATTGCCAAATCTTCCTACAAAAAGGCCTTTACCTATGTATCATGCACCTACACGATTAGTTACCTTTAGAGAACCTTCCATTTCTTATTCTAGTGTAGAGGCAGGTCGTTAAGACATGATTTAGTTAGTTTTTTATCAAGTAAAATGCCTGGTTATCTAACTCTTTTCAAGAACTTTTGAAGTTGAATTTGAATGCTTAATTAGATACACTTATTACAATATTGTTTACTAGTGAATCTCATTCCCTACTAAAAGAGACTATAATTGATGGTTATTAATCTTTGAGAAAGAGCTTGCTTGACAAGAAGTGTGACATAGAAATCATGGTGAATAACTTATATCCATACTTAGATATCTAACGGAGCTAATGAGCTAATTTCACACTAGTAAGAGTATTTGTTAGTTTAACTAATATAATGATGAAAATTAAATATCGTCCTACGAAGACTATAAACTAATTAAGTACCAAAATTAACTAATTCTAATTTTATTTGAACAATTGAAATTAAATTATGGTTAAATGCTTAATTTGGTCCCTCAACTTTAAGAAATGAACATTTTTGATCCCTCAACAATTTTTTGCACTTTTTTGATCCCTCAACTATACGAAATGCACTCCGTTAGTCCTTCTGTTAATTTGAGCCGTTAACCCTGCTGAGGTGGTATTTTTTATATTTTTTTTGATGACGTGGAAAACAAAACTTAAAAAAGTGATGACATGCATACAACTTTTGCCATGTCACATGCTACCTGGCAAAAACGCACCAAATCCATCCAATGGGTCCCACATCACCACTACCAATTGCTCCTTTGCCCATCAGTTACTGTTTCTATTCTTTCCGGTGTTTTTTCCATTTTCAAGATTTTCTGGTGTTTTTTCCATTTTCAAGATTGAAGTTCGACAGGGTGTTCTTCCATTTTCAAGATTGAAGTTCGACAGAACGCAGCTCGATTCATTTCTTTCCATTTTCAAGATTGAAGTTCAACAGAATCTAATTCGATTCATTGAACTCAATTGTCCAAAAATCTCTCGCAACAACCTGCAATTTGAAAATCTCTTGGCAAACAATCATATAACAGAAAAAGAAACTAGTTACCCAAAAATCCCTCACGGCAAACAATCA